CAAGACCTTTGGCAGATGATTGAGAAGGGTCCTGCTGTAACATCTGCTAGCTCCTTCAGCAGTCTGGGGTGAATCCCATCAGGCCCCATAGACTTACAAAGATTCAACTGATACAACTGGTCATTTACAATTTCAATATCCACAAGTGGGAATCACTGCTCCCACATGTCCTTCAACTCAGAGGACCAGGCAGCCCAAGGTCTATCAACATTATTAAAGACTTAGGCAAAAAAACCCAAAAACATTAAATGCCTCTACCTTTTCCTTATCCATATTTGTCAGGTGACTATCTTCATCAAGTATTGGTCCAATATTTTCCAAGATCTCCTCTTGCTCTTAACATACTCAAACAAGAATTTTTTGTTATCTGACCCAACTCTGGCCAGTTTCAACACTAGTCGACCTTTGGCCTTTCGTGTTTTCTCCCTACACATGTGAACCACAGCTCTGTATTCTTCCTGCGAAGCCTGACCTCGCTTCCAGAGATCATATGATTTTTCTGCCTGAGTTCCAAGAGGAGTTCCCTGTTCAGCCAAGCTGGTCTTCTGCCCCACTTGCTTGACTTGTGGCACAATAGGATTGCCTGCTCCTGTGCTTCTAAAAATTGGTTCTTAAAAAACTGACAAGCTCTCATGGATCCCTAAAGCCCTCAAAAGCAGATTCCCAGGGGACACTGCTAACTAGCTCCCTGAGTAGCTTAAGGTTTGCTCTCTTGAAATCTAGGGTAGCAACTCCGCTGACCTTTTTTCTCACTTCATCAAAAAATTTAAACTTAACCATTTCATGATCACAGTGGCCAAGCAGCCACCTACCATCACATCTCCCACAAGTCCTTCTCTACTCACAAACAAGTCTACGAGGATGTCTTTCCTAGTTGGCTCACTGAGTACTTGTGACAAGAAATTGTCTTCAACATAATTCTGGTATTTCCCAGACTTGCTTGTTACAGCGGTCTGGTATTCCCAGCTGATGTCTGGGATGCTGAAATCTCCAATAAAGACAAAGGCTACCAATTCAGGGATTTCTAATTGCCTACAGAATAAATAATCAGTGCTATCATCCTGGCTGCGTGAACAAGAGTAGACACCCACGATGACATCTGCTTTGTTTTTCATCCCCCTAATCCTCACCCAGAGGCTCTCAACCCATCATCACTAACTGTAAGGGCTGTACAGTCAAACCTCTCCCTTACATACAGTGCAACTCCTCCACCTTGTGTGGCCTCCTTATCCCTCCTGAACAGCCTGTAGTCCTGCATTCCCGCACTCCAGTCGTGGGACTCATTCCACCAAGTCTCACTAATACCAGTGACATCATAGCTCTGAGAACTGACGGACACTTCCAGTTCACACTTTGTTTCTCATACTGTGTGCGTTGGTTTACAAGCATTTCAGATATGCTCCCAAACCCTCAGTGCTCCCTGGAGCTACGTTAGCATTGCAACCCTTAGGCAGCGCTATGCCATCCCTTGGCTCACCTCTTCTGCTGTATATCAGTATAGTTTAATTCAGATGTTTATATAATGCTCCATTATGCAAACTGAAACACAGCATGTAGGCTTTATCCAGAGATTCCCTTTAATAAAAGGTAAACTTTGCATGTGTATTAGCATTTTAATTCAGATGAAAACTCAAGACGGGTAAAGGTGTAAGTTAGTTAGAAACTGTACACTGCAGATGGCACCATTAAAATGTGACACATTTGGCTTTGTTAGAGGTTACTTTGAAGTGCACACAAATGGAAATGTCATGCACTGAGATACTGGCTGGGTGACAACTGCTTTCTGTGTCCTTGTGTACATTCATGTTTAGACTGCCTTCTCAGTATACAGCTGCATACAGAGCAGGAAATTACCATTATTATACATTATTTCAGAAATACACGAGTACTGTGTTAATCCTCCACACATCTAATTGCTGAAGAAATGTCTGATTCCTGTGGGAAGCTCACTGCCATCCCACAGTAACCTTGTTAGCTGAGAAAAGCCCATAAGGAAGTCAGAGGATAATTTCTTCTGCAGAGGAAATGTTATCAGTCCCGAAATTACAGGAATTTCTGCAATGGGGTGTGGCTTCTAGATGTAGGGTGATAACATTTCATGCAAGCTGGTCAAAATCAACAATGCTCTCACTACTGCTGCTTTGGAAGATAATAGGGACCAGTGCCCAAGCAATTATATTCAGATAATTTTTGTTTACTCTAGTGAGGAGGATTGCTAAATACAAAAGCCCTTTTAAGGTCTGTCTTAGCAAGACTGCGAAGTTCTCTATTCCTTCAGAAAGAGTATTAAATAAGGAGAATGGCAGGGGCTAATCTGTTTAAGGTGGAAAAGAGCTGTTGTATTGTCCCTTTTCCGTAGAGGCAGAGAAAAACTCTCTTTATGTGCAAAGGAGGGTAAGGGAGACAAGGACAGTTATAAATGGAAAGAAAATTGCAACTGTCCTGGAGCTGGGGACATAGCAGCCATTAGGATCATTGACTTACTTCAATGATCTTGATAAAGCCATTGCAAAATTGACAAACATACCACCCCCCTTTCAGAAACCCTGCTTACATTATATACCTTCAGTGTGTTGTCACTACTGCACAAGAGCATTGTGTTATTACTAAAAAAGGGTTATAAGTTAAAAAATAATGCAATAATGCTCATTCAGAAGCCCGTTACACTAGAACATACTTTAGTAAATAGGCTACATCCAAATAGATTTTACAAGGGGTTTTTTTTTCCACCCATTCCTACAAAGCTTCCATGAGTTAAAGGAATATTCCACTCCAGCTCCCAGGTATATTCCACTCAAGGCTCCCAGGTGTCATTGAAACAACTCAACTGAAAAAACTGAATGTGTATTTCTCATTTAGATTCAGCACAGCTCAAACCATACTAGGCAGTTTGTAAAAGAACACTACCCCATCAGTAAAAAACAAAATACTGTTTTTCATCTTACAAGTCTTTGGGAGGAGGTAAAAGAATAAACAAACAAACAAACCCAAAACCTTCTGATAGGAAACCTCTTTGAAACAGGTCTTGTTGCTGCCTGAGTAGTAATATTATGCTTTCAAGTATGAACAGTTTTCTTTATTGGATAAGATACAGCATGCAGCTACCACCCATAAGCTTTAGTCCACACTGCTTTCTTCTTGAACTCCGCAACAGATCTCAAGGCCAGAAGAGTAACTGTGAAGACAAGGACAAATGAGATTAACTTGTGCAGTCCAGACTGGAAAGGATGTGAGATTATTCTCCCTAGTCATTTTGCTAACACAGGTATAGATTCAGTTCTCCTTTTACTGACTCTTTTCATGACTTTTTCTCTTCCTAGCCGTACAGTTTCTGATGTTACTTCTGCTGTTCACAAGATACACTAGTCTCTACACCCCTCTGAAACATGGTGTTGTACTAGGCCTTTCATTTGCTTTATGGCATGTCTCTTACTGAAATCATATCACATCATCTGCTAATTAGACCACCACTTTGAAGTGGTACATAGATCAACCACCACTGCAGAAAGTTCGAATTCAACGAGCAGTGATGCAAGAGGTGAGATAGGAGGCACTGGGAAGGACAGAAGTGCAAAGTACAATGTCTTAAGTTGTCTGCGCAATTCACTGATTGGAAATGCAATTCACTGATTCCTCAGTTCAATCTGAAAGGATCATGTATGTAGGCAAACTCCAGTAACCAAACCAGTCACGGTTCAGTCTTCAGTTGCACATAATAAATTGTTGAGTGACTTCTGTTCTATACTGGAGGGTTTCCAAATAGATTGCTGCATATTATTTTTAAGGGTAACTTAAAAAAAAATTGACAGATCTATCACTGAAATATACTTGTAGGACCAGATGTACCTTCAGATCCTTTGGATATTCAGTGGTACATCATAAGTGCCAGCACATGAGACAGCAAATGTAAGAAGGTGTTACAGACAGGAATGTTAACTTACCTTTAAAGGTTACCTTAAAGACAAAATATAGCTCTCCTACATGTGTTAATAGTATAAATTAATCTCACCTGTTTTAACAACTGGATTGTGATCTGTACTGAGAGTTACGGAAAAATAAGGACCCAATTACAAATATCCTACCTTTCAGCAGGTCCATGGAAGATTTTGATAATGCTTCCTTAGGACTTTCCATCATATTGATCAGCCAGTCAATAAACTAAAGATTGAAATACAAAGGAAAATCTGAATTAAAAGAGCCTCTGTATCAGAACACCACAAATTCTTTTCAATTTGACAGGCAACATCTGATTGCTGCTAAACTCAGTTATCTAATCAGAGGCAACGGCCAATTAAGCTTCTGCCCAAACTGTCCAGATGCCCTAGAGTACATCTCACTGTCAGTGCAATTTCTCCCACAGCTGGATGTGAAACTCCCTTTGTTCTTTCTCATTACCTCAGCAGGAATTCTTTGTAATGAAGAAGGCACAGCAAACAGTTTCCCCCTGTCTTGCCTGTTCGCGCCTTTTACCTATGAATATGATCCTTTCTTATAGGTCTCTTGTCCAAACATTTTACTGCAAATCCTTCAGAAGTCGTTACTGCCTTTGCCCCTCTTTCAACCTCTCTCATTTTTCATTGTTTTTCTGGCAGCGCAGGGTGCCTGGAGGACAATGTGGTATTTCAAACTTATCAGGGTGATTTTCAGGGCATAGTCTCAAATTCTTCCCTAAAGCCTAGTTAGGCACTTGCATATTAACAGCCCACTCTTGCATTCCTCCCACATTCTGAATTCTGACTTCAGAGGTAACTCCGAGCATGGAAGTGCACAAGAGCCAGTCCTTAATGGATTCTGGTTTGCACAAAACAGCTAGCTATTAATTTATCGGTTTATAACAATATTTCCACATATCTCAACCACAAGCAATCTACAGTAGGCTTGCCAAATTAGGCACAATTTTCTACACTTATTTTCAACTTATTCTTGAAAATAAATAATGATGCACACTACAAACTGCACAGATCTTTGATTGCCCTGAATTGCCACTGTGATGATGTCCAACTGCAGAGGATCTGTCTTTCTGTGTTTAAAAGACTGACCAGCAGATGCCAACTCTCCTCTCCCAGCTGTACCCTCTTAAGAGTTTGACTCCCAATATTGGAATGCTTTTTGTTCTTTGTAACTCTCACATTTTACTTGAGAAACTACACTCAATCTTTTCACACAAGTCATATCTGATTGCAAGTAAAGAAAAACAAGATCACAAATCAGATGCAATAGATAGAGAGGAAATAACTGCTCCACCTAAGACTTGAACTGACTGCTAGAAATACGGTGCTTTCTGACTCTTAGAAAATGCTTACCACTACATGCAATTTTACCTTCTGTGTTTGTTCTTTCCAAGGCTCTTTAGCCAGCAAAAGGGAAATGCTGCTTGGAAGGAAAGTGAGAGTCTCCTGCACAGCAAGCTTGTCAATGGGGTGTTTGCCAACGTGATCCTTAGATAATTCTGGTAATACCGTTTGGTGCTTCCACGGTGACCAGTTAGCACTGAGGCCTAGCAGCAATGGTGCACCATGGTCAGCCCAGGCCACCACAGAAGCTGCAAACAGCCACAGGAGGAAATCTATGCACTACATAGGAAAAAGGCAAAGATGCACTTTATTAAATGAATAATACAGAAAGGGAAAAAAAAAAAAAAACCAATTAAAAAAAACCCCAAACCAAAAATCCAGATGGTGACTTGCTCTTCAAAACAATCATCTGAAAATTCAGCTAACATTCAAAATGGAAGAACTAAAAAGTTCTTAATAATCCCTTACAGTTTGAAGTGGCATAAGCCTTTTTCTAAACTCCAAATCAAACTAAAATGTCTACAGAAAGCAAAGTAAAACCACAGTCTTCTAAAATCATCCTTTAGATTAAGACTGATCCACATTTCATTTAAAATGGGGAAATAACTTCGTTACAGCAAGCTGACTGTTGAGGGAAATTAGAGGAGGTCACCCCTGCGGTGCTACAAATGGTTGGGAAATACTGCAGCAATGTAATGAATGCCCTTCTGATCTAAGCAGCATTTTATTTTTTGTCCTCAACCAGAAGACTTAAACAGCTGAACAGATGTAACAATGAACAATTTAAGTTCCCTAAAACTGTCCAAGCCCTCTTAAAAAACAGCAGCTGCACAGTTTTGACCTCCTTGGGCAGTTCTACTGGTGAATTCAAATTTTTCCTTTAGTTGTTCTAAATACAGTATATTTGAAGCAATGATTTCCTTTAGTTGCCTTTAGCTTCTATCATAATTTAAATGTCATGGTTATTTTAAAGTTAAGAGTTTTAAATACAAATACATTCACAAAAATTGAGAAGAATTTCTCTATGGAGGTAAGACAAGAATCTTCTAAAATACAGAAGCGTGGGGAATACTTATTGCTGAGGAAGCATGTGAAATACATCAAACCCTCCTTTTTTCCTGAAAGCTGCAAACTATTTTCACAGCATGTACCTCTTTAAGATTGACATTTTGTAAGGGTGTTGACTTGAATGCTAAATTTCTGATGTAGCCCATCAGGTCTAGCAGCCAGTCCATTCTTTTCAGCACTCCTAGAAGAAGAACAAGAACATTAACTTAGGTAAAACACTAGAATGCATCATTTTTCATTAAAAAGCAAGCATAGAGAATCACTATAGCAACAAAGCACCACCAGTACCACTATCATATTTGATTCATGGTTGCCACTGACAGAAGGCATACAGGCACTTAAACAGTACAAAAACTTTGCCTATAATGCAGGCAACACACCGAACACACAGAAAAAGGAATGCTGAGCGGGAATTATTTCACATAGTGGCAGCCTGCAAGTCCCACTAACCCAGTCTGCATATGCGACTGCTACAGAACCTAAAGCTTCCCCAAAGTTTTTGTACCAGTACTTCATTTAAGTCTAGCACTGATGTCACTGTAAGAATGGGGGGGAGTGCTGTGAAAATCCTCCTACAGTGCAGAGAGGATCAGTAAAATACAGTCAAGGCACGCCAATAAAATCAGTCCTCAACCCAAGGATGGAGCATATTTAATTGATTCAGATTCTGCTGTCCAAAATCTGTTCTACCTCCAACAAACTAATAACCGTCTTCATTATCGAAACCATGTTGCTTCATACACTACCATTTCACTACACTCTTTCCCTACACTCTTTACCAGTGCCCTCCTTCATGTTGCCTCCCCTTTTACCCAAAGAAGCCTTACTTCACTCATTCAAACCCCACTACTGTTTGAAGTTCTTCAACCAGAGCGGGCAGCTAAGGCATCTAGCAACATAATGCTTTGAAGTTGCTCTGTGAACACAGGCAGGCAAAGATCCTTCCTTCTGCTATGAAAATGAGGAGATCTCATTCTTGCCTCCCTCTGTTCTGTTTCTTCCTCCTTTATCCTCCTGTGTGATTATGCTGCTTCTCTTGCATCAGCTCCAGTGCTTTAGCAGACCCTTAACTGAGCCAGCCCACCTCATTAACCCAGCAGATAACTATCTGGTATGGTTATGAAGAGGCGGAAGGACAATTTGTTTCCGGTGTTAACTCAGTGCAAGGAGTTCAGAAAAGCAAGCTATCTCTTTGGTTCAACCAGTAAGTCAGATACTAGATCTGAAGGTTAGCAGAATTGCACTATTACCGGTCTCTGACATGCTATGTACATTTCTAACACTACCTTACACAGAAAGTCTAAAAAGACCAGGAGACATGGATCTAGTCAAAACTCTGGTCTGCAAACCACCTGGCTGATAAAAATTACTTGTAGCTGATCCACAGAAACATAAAGAATTGGAGAAAAATATAAAAGCGATGTTTGATACAAGTATTTGAAGAGCAAAAAAGTTCTGAAGATTGAGCAGTTTCTAATCTGGAGAAATTTGGAAACACTTGGGTTAAACTATCTTAAAATTACTTCAAAAAAAATCAGTGTGGATCCATCAATACCTGTTGATTTTGTTGTTGATTCTTCTTTAAGCTTGACCTTACCTGTGTTTTCATGGCTCACAATACGAGCATGATAGAAACTATGCAAGAGCATCCATGAAATATTTTCTTTCTGGTGATATCCTGCCACAGTATCAATCACAGCACTCAAGTTCATCAGAGGCAATCTGCCTTGAGAAATTAAATACACTTTCGTGAATGTGGCCTTCTCTTTATTGTTCTGTAAATGCAATTAAAAAACAAGTTAAATTAAAACATACCTTTCTTGTGGGAACAGTAGATGCTGCATTCCTCTTTAGGAAAGAAGGGGAGAAATTCTTTGATTATCTAGAAGGCTCACTGCTCTTCAAGATAAATTATAAAACAGAAGACTGTACATATCACTTTAATTTTACACTCTTCTAAATAGTCCAGCAAACTGCAAATCAGTACAGTTCAACTGTTTTCATACTGCTTTAACTTTTACATTCCCCTTTACATTGAAATGAGCCAGCCTGACAGTTCTGGAGACTCAAGTCTTGCAAGAGATTCACTGCAGTGACAAAAAAGTTTTTTTTTTTAAATGGCGTTTTCCAGTGTGGAAATAAGAACTCAAAGATATAAGGAAATGACAGTTCAGCTTCCCTAACCTATTTAAATGCTTGATTCTCTAGTGAATCTGCCAGTAAACAGAACACCACAGTTTTATGTCATGGATGTTTGTTTATAACAATCTCATCTGAAACCATCAAGTCCTTCCACACAGGTCATTTCCTTAGCATTTCAGCTGCTAAGAATTCCACTGCTAATTGATTCCACTGGTGAGCTAGAAGCTGAAAGCTTTTCTATTCCATTGTCATCCTTAGCCATCTTGTCCACTGGGAAACATTCTGAGTGTGAATGCAAATATAGCACATTAAGTCAGGAATGAAAGGCTGTTCAGTCAAAGCATTTCACATTTTTAACAGAAGCAAGGATCTACTAGTTCAAGCACAGCTAATCACTGGGATGCATTTACAGTCCATTTCAAGTAGGTAGTTATGTTAACCGAAGAGGACTATGGTCTGCTGTTTGCATCACTGGTCTGGGATTCAGAAGATCTAACACCACTC